CATCAAGGGTTCGTGAGGGAGGGCAGGTGGGGGAAGGAGGGGGAAGAAATGGGGGAGCTGATATCAGGGACTCAAGTGGGAAGAGAATGCTTTGAAAATGATGATGGCGGCATATGTGCAAATATGCTTGACACACTGGATGAATGCATGGATTGTGATAAGAGACGTAAGAGCCCCAAATAAAAGTATTTAAAAAAAAAGAATATTGTCCTTGTGACTATGTTATGCCAATTTGCCTTGATGTTCTGGGGGCAAAATATTGAACACAGAGAGCATCAAAAAATAAAGAGTAGATAGTCACTATACCAGATATAATATGGATATTGCTTATTTAGTTTCCTTTTACCATTGGCATTCTAATACTTTTTTAAAGCTAAAAATGAAAGAAAAATGAGAAAAAATGTGTTGTCAAGGAGGTGCTAAAATAGATGGACAAAATTAGGATAAAAGAGGCTTGAAGGTAAACAAATAGCCATCTAGCTAACAAAGTCCACATGGAAGCACACCAGCCTGTGTGATCATGAGCTGTCGAAGGTTATCAAGTATCAGGTATCATCAGAACAAAAAAGCATATCATTGTGAATAAGGGGGAGTGCAGGGTGGAGACCCAAAGCACATTTGTAGGCCACTGGACATCCCCTTACAGAGAAGGGTCTCGGGGAGGAGACGAGCCAGTCAGGGTGCAGTGTAGCAACGATGAAACATACAACTTTCCTCTAGTTCTTAAATGCTTCCTCCCCTCCCACTATCATGATCACAATTCTACCTTACAAATCTGACTAGACCAGAGAATGTACACTGGTACAGATAGGAACTGGAAACACAGGGAATCCAGGGTGGATGATCCCTTCAGGACCAGTGGTGCAAGTGGCGATACCGGGAGGGTGGAGGGAAGGTGGGATGGAAAGGGGGAACCGACTACAAGGATCTACATATAAACTCCTCCCTGGGGGATGGACAACAGAAAAGTGGGTGAAGGGAGATGCCAGACAGTGTACGATATGACATAATAATTTATAAATTATCAAGGGTTCATGAGGGAGGGGGAAGTGGGGAGGGAGAGTAAAAATGAGGAGCTGATACTAAGGGCTCAAGTGGAAAGCAAATGTTTTGAGAATGATGAGGGCAAAAAATGTACAAATGTGCTTGACACAATTGATGTATGTATGGATTGTGATAAAAGTTGTATGAGCTCCTAATAAAATGATTTTTAAAAAAAAGAAAGAAAAATGAATTAGATGCCAAGGGCTCAAATAGAAGGTAAATGTTTAGAAAATAATGATGGCAACATATGTACAAATATGCTAGATACAAGTGATGTGTTGACTGTTTTAGGAGTTGTAAGAGCCCCCAATAAAATGGTCTTATATATAAAAAAAAAATTTTGTGAGCATGTTTGTAACAGAAGGAATGAGACTGCAGCATGAGATTGGAGAAGGCAAAGTAGTGAAGTAACTGACAGAAAGACACCCTGAAGGAAATTACAGAAACAAACCTAGGCAGGCAGGAGGAGTGCTCCTTGCACAAGAGGGATAGTTTTCCATGAGTAGGGAGAAGACAACGGCTGCAAAGAGAAAGGGAACTTAGGTATTGTTTATATCTCCACAGGGGAAGAGGGACCGGGCTTAAACCCAGTGCTCCAAGATGTCAATGCAACATGCTGGCATGAAGCAGGGAGCCAGTAGAAAGGTCTGAGGGGCTGGCCCTAATCCCAACTACATGGACAGCCGCCCCTCCCCCCAGAAGAATTTACTTCAGAGGACAGCACTGAAACTACAGCTCAGGGAGAGGGACATGTCTGATCAGAGTACATAGGAGCAAATGATGGGGGAGGAAGAGAGTGGAACACATCCTGGCACATCATTGAACCATTTACAGGCTTTCCTTTTTTTTTGGTTTTTGTCATTGGTGTTTTATTTTCTTTTGTTGCTTTGTTTTGCTCTGTCTTGTTTTTGTGCATGTTATTATCTCTGCAGGTCTATCTAGATAAGATAGGCCGAATAAACAATCTGGAGGAGAAAACAACAGGACCAACGGCTGGCGGGGGGGCGCATGCGAGAAGGGGAGGTGGGGGAAAGAAAGTGGTGTTAACAAACCCAGAGACAAGGGAACAACAGTGATCCAAAATTGGTGACAAGAAGGGTGTAAGTGGTCTGGTAGGGCTTGATCCAGGGCAATGTAACTGAGAGGAATTACTGAAACCCAAATGAAGGCTGAGCATGATAGTGGGACAAGAAGAAAGTAAAAGGAAATAAGAGTTAAGAACTAGGAGGCAATAGGAATTTATAGAGGTCTAAACACAAGGCATATACATATGTAAATATATTTATATATGATGATGAAATAGATATATGTGCATATATTTATAGGTTTAGTATTAA